CAGCACCAGCACCAGCACCACCGCAGACAAAAACATCAGCATCGCCACGGTTAACCACAATGAACAACACGTTGTCGTCAACATACCTGTGCGGCCATCATCATGCTCGGTGTTATCCAGTGTCATCATCGGCATGGTGCTTTTTGAGTTCAGTTTCACGTTACATCAACAAACTCAACAATCCGCGTCTGCTGTGCCACAGGCCGCGCGTGTGATGACTCTGGCTGTCGTGGGCATCTTCATGTTTGACACCACTGTCCTCATCATCGACATCATGCTGTCGCAACACCGACAACAACCGGAGCAATCAGCCGCCTGCCTGCACCAGCAACGACCACGACAGCACCGATCAGAGCCAGAAGGAGACTCGATGGCATCGAGTGTACAGACTCAAACAATCAATACAACGGAAGACTTGTTAGTAGCCTCTTGTCACGGAAGCATCTTGTACCAATTGTACCACAGCAGATATGGCAATAGCTCACAAACACCGTGGCCCGACTTTTCGCTGGACGAGGAGCATGGCTACAAAGGGAGAAGCATTTGTCCACAAGCCTCAGTTCAGGGCAAGGCTTATTTGGTGCTTAGAACGCACCATGAATACTGTTGAGGACTATGGCAGGGCCACTTCCCTCTCAGTTCAAGAATGGCTTGACGGCTTTGGAGACCGATGGATTCTCACTTGAGTCCCACAAAAATTCGAAACCAACAAAAATCTTTCAGTGCGAGCTTCCCATCAGCTGACATCCGATGGACTTTTCCAGTTTTTTCGGCTGACAGATCGGAACACCGCCTCGGGAGACGTGCCTTGGAAGACGGATTTGGGTCTTGGGACGGGCTCAACGCTCAGTCGGGTGAATCCGGTAAGTGGTAAAACTCATTGCCAAACTTCTCAGGATCTGACTGCTGCTGTTGATGACATGTTCAAGAGCCCCGGTTGTTCCAACTTATGGGGTCATTCTGAGGAAACACTTCACGCGAACATGCTCTTGCATCGAAAGCCTGAGATAGATGTAGCAAGGGCAGCATGATATTTGCCAGGTGACACTTCGTGAAAAAAGACGATGACGAAGAATCCGAAGACTCCTGCATCTGCATTTCGCTTGAGTCTCGCGCTCCGGTACAAGGCTGATGTTTCAAACCTTGCGACTTTGGAAGGGGCAAAATATTGGCAAAGCCATAAGATAAGAATGCGTCTCAGAGACGGTGGGTTCAACATGTACGGTTCAAGCTCTGCCAACCGGTGGCAGCCAATTGGCTCTGATCTCCAAGAGCTGCATAGATTTCAGGGGCTTCCACGCTGTGACGCTGTGTCGGGAACGTACTTATCACATGTCTTCATAAGTGGCATTCCAGCTTTGGTGCAGAACCCGGTTTGGGGAAGGGGCTGCTCTTCTTGCAATAGCTGACATCTGAAACCCGTGAGCCCCAGGGCCTGCGCATCTGTTGCGCTGGGGTTAAGGGCCGAACTGCCGCCACTTTTACTATGGAGGGCTTTGGTTTTGGCATTTTCACTGTTGAGTCGCCCTGACACTCGGGGAGCTTGAAAGACGAACTCCTGCGTAGATCCACCACGGGAAGTGCACGATCCGGCTGCCGAAGAGGGCGCGGTCGATGAGCTCCCAAGAAGCCTTGGAAGGGACTATGACTATAATGCATCCTGCGATCGAGGCCCTGCCAAGGCTTTGCAGGCTGTTAATGCTCCCTGGATTTACACCCGCAGCCCTGTTCGCCCAATCCTCAAAATTTACCGGTTTAGGGCTTAGGGCCTTGGTTGTACACCCGAAACCCGAACCACTAAGGTCTAATCCCGACCCGAAACCCGAGGAGGCATGACCGTGAAGAGCCAATAATCAAAGGAGTGTCTGAGGATCCCCATGGCTTTCGGGGGCATCGGCTTCTGATGATACTCTTATGCGAGGGCTTTAAAGGGGTTGCGGTCTTCAGGTTTTCGTTCAAGGCTTCAAACATGAGCAGCACGTGAGTTGGACTTCTTGACTTGTAGGTTGAGGAACTGTTGGGCATGCAGCAGGATTTAATGATGGCTACATGTGGCGGTGAACGTAGTCCCTGTTGGAAATGTCCAAATTCACTTTAGGGCCGTTTAGACTGAATATTTCATGAAAAAATGAATGTGCAGAAGCAAGAACTACCCTTAGACCCAACATCCATGATTCCTGTTAAATGGAACGCACTAGAGTGCCATAAACCGCCGGGGTCCTAGGACACGCGCAAACTTCCTGGAAGGCATGCCACAAGATATACCATCGGAAAGCATCTTAGCATCCACACTAGGCCCTTGGCCAGGGGCCGATTACAAAGACTCTGTGCAACAAGGACATGCAAGTCTGCACTTTAAAGGAAAGCAGACAACTGCATCAATTCTAAAACCTTCCCACCTCATGCAACTCAACTACCACTGCTCCAATGCCAAACCCCACGCACTTCAACTCTGGTGGTTCTTACTGAGCCCTCGAACTCCGCAGACGCAACCTTCAAAGCCAGTCAAACCTGCTAAGTTGAGGTATAGCATTCACAGCAAGCCCGAAACTGCTCCATAGTCAGTCTGCATTGTGGGTGTGGATACGTGCTATGCTGTTGAAGCAAATGATCTCGGTGATGATGATGATGATGATGGTGACGAGGATGCCCATGACGATGGTGGTGAACATGAGTACAGGAATGCTAGACAAAAAGGGTGCTGAAGCAATGATGAGAGTGGAAATGATGATTGCGGCTGCTGCAACTGCAACTGCTGTTGCAATGGCTACAGTAACAGAGCCAGGCAGCTGATGAAAGAGGCTTCTCTGCCGAAGCCTGGCCACTAGCTCGCAAGGGCCCGAAACCGTCTCAACTTGAGCAACTTTTGTATCCCAGCCAAACCCAAACACACTAAATTCCGTGAAGAAACCGAATCCCTTCCCCCTAGTAGTAAGCGACCACCCCCCAAGTTTAAAATGAATTTCCGGGTTTTTTTGTATTAGGGGGGTCGGAGTGACAGTAAGAGTTAATGAACCAGACAGTCAGTAAAGCAAGTAATTAAACAACGACCGTTTCCTACGCAGCCGTTCCGGCTGTAGAGCGGCCCTAAACCCTAGACCTTGAGCCCTTTAGTACTGTTGTAATCTTGGCTCGATTAGAACCAATACAATCCTAGGCGCCCCCAAATACTGTTAATGAACTTTCAACTGTGGGCCCGAAACCGCGAAATCCCGGGGCCGGGAGGTTTCTATATTAGCAGGGGGTTAATGTCATGGGGAAGGGATTACGGGGACACGTTCGGTGCTACTCTGTCCCTTGCCTCGGCAGAAAAGGGATTTTTTTCGAAAAGGCTGAAGCCCTCATGACACTCGATACTGCAAGTGGTATGATCCTAAACCGAGGTTCGCTCCAAACCATACTCTAGGGACCACTGCGGTTCGAATCCTCCCCAGCCCTCCCCACCCCCCCCCCCCCCGACTTTTCGGACCTTTGTTGCGGTGACGACGCTGACGGAAAGCTGCCTTT